CCCGCCCCGGGGCCTAGCGGAGGCCTCTCCGTGGGGGGCGGAGCTGCGGCCGCTCCCCCAGCCCCCTCCGCCGTGGCCCCTTCTTAAGCGCGCGGAGCCTCTGGCTGCCTAACTCGCTCCTCCCGCCCGCCTCCCTGCAGCACGATGGCTTCGGTGCTGAGCTATGTCTTCAAGTTCAAGTCCTTCTTGCTCTTGTTCGCCAGCCCGCTCCTGCTGCTGCCGCTCGTCATTCTGGTGCCCACCAAGGTCAGTTGCATCTCCCGGCAGCCCCGAGGACTCCGGGCTACCGGTCACTGCAACGGGCCCCGAACGCGGGGATTCCCGGCGGGCACAGCTCCCCCGGGAGCTCTGGGCGCCAGACTAGACGGGAGGTGTCCTGTAAAGAATTCCGAGGGGCGCAGAAACAGCGGGGCACACCAACCTTGGGGTTTACAGATCCCAGGACACAAGAACCGTCCCAACAAGCTCAGAAACCTAGAAGTTAGCGCAGATCTTGGCCACACAGCCCATTCATAGTCTCAGCTAGGGTGCGGAACCTCCCCAGAGGGCATAACTTTATTCTCTTCCCCATCCCCTCCCTCCGAAAAGCCGACGGTGCTGATCCAGAGCCTGGGCGCTAGCCTTTCCCCTCCTTCTCTCTCCTTTTCCCTTAGTGACTGGGGACTTCCCAGCTGTTGGAGGCATCCAGGATCAGTCAGGGACCTAAGTGGATCCTGAGCGCTGTCTTTGGCACTCTCTTGCTCTTCTTTGAGCCTCAGTTTCCCTATCTGTGGTCCACATTTCTTTCCAACTCAATCCCTGGAAGCCGCAGCTGAGTCAAAATGCTCCTCTGGCTGAAAGGCAGGTCAGGATTGATCTGCTTTGCTTGCTGCCTGCTGGGACTGTGGCAGGAGGCGGTCAGGTTCCCAGAGCTTACGCCTTGGGTGGCACGACCCAGGGTTGCAGGGAATCCGGGCGTCCCATGCCCTGGCCTCCTAGCGCTACTGGGAGGAAGGCAGAGAATGAATGGCCTTGGCCACAGGGTGAGGGCAGTGCTGGGAGCCCTGGCCCAGGCTGCGCTGGGCTGTGCGAAGCCTCTTTGGCAGAGGCCCGAGCCCTTTGAAGCCTTTTGTGGCTGCTGGCTGCTCCTTCCTCATTCCCTCTTTCAGCCCTTTCACTCTCAGCCCAGACAGGAAAGCCCTGGCTCTCGGTCCCTCCCAGGAAGGTTTGGGAAACAGAGGAGTTCTTTAGGGGATACTGTGGGGGCAGTCCTGGAGGACTGGGGTGTACTGGGGTATTAGGAAGCCAAATCTACAAGAGAACCCAACTTCATTCACTCTTCCTTGTGATTTTATCGAAGCCTCATCATTTTCTGGGCCTTGGTGTTCTTGTCTGTACAGTGGGGCAAGGTGCTTTGGTTCTGACACCTTATCACTTAGGGTGCCCAAAGGGATTATGCTGGTGCCTTGGATGGGGGCGGGGTAGGCTGAGAGGAGCCCTCCAGCGGGCTGAGCACAGGCCCTGGATGGGCCAGACAGCAGATCAAACTGCGATGGCTGTTCAGTTGCCATACCAACTGTGAGCAGCCTATTTCCTCTGTAGAAAGAGATTTGGGGCTGTTAGTATCCGTGGGAGGGAGCCAGGAAGGAGAGCTGTGATTTTAGTTCTGCTAGTGGGGAGTGATGTTCCCTGGAATAATTATACAGCTTGGCTGAACTTCCTGTCTGGGAGAGGGTGACTGAGACCCCACTCCCACCCACTACACACACGCACGCACGCACGCACACAGCCCTGAGCTGGGACTCCCAACTTGGAGTGTCTGTGAGTGTCATTAACCTGCCTTGGGAATGAGCGTCAGTGAGTGAAGAGGAGACATCTGCGACAGTCCTTCCAAAGGCTGCCTTCATGTGCTTTCCCTCGCTGTAGGCAGACGACTGGGATCCAGGACCCCTGTCTTGGTGTTTTCTCCCTTTGTGCCTCTGTTTCAGTCACCACTGAAGAGCTCCCTGCCCCTGTCCCCCACGGCCACACCATTGTGCAAGAAGCCCAGAGGTACTGGCATGGGACAGAGCTCCTGGGAAGCCAGCAAGAACTTGGCAGCCTGGCGGGCACTGTCCAACTGGGGTGGCTGGCGACTCTGAAGGCATGCCACCCTCTGGCCCGTGCCCCTGCCTCTCTCCTGCGGGCTTCCTTCTTGTCTTCCTCTCCCCCACCTGGCTCCCCTCTTGGCTTCATCTCTGTCCCACTTTTTCTGCCTTTTCTTGGGTCCTTTTATTTTTAAAATAGCTTTTTAATAAAATCTGTAAACACCACTGATTTTATTATTAAAATTGTAAAAAATTCTTATCTTTTAAAAGTCTGTAAAGTATAAAGTAAAAATGAAAATACTCGCAAATCCCAGAATTTATTAATATTTTGATGGTCATCTTTCCAGAAATCAATCAATCAATCAATCAATCAATCAATCAATCTCATTTCTCTTCTTCACACACACACACCCACCCATTCACCCACCCACAGCACGTTCCCTTACCTACTTTTAGTTTTCATTAAGCAGCATGTCATGGGCAGCCTTATTTGTTAGTAATTATACATGGTTTTATTCAGCTGTGCATTTTACATACACTTATTTAGCCCAACTATTGTGCCGGGTGCTGACTTTTAAATCCCACTGCCCGCTTTAACCTCGGCTTTAAGTACTTTTCCAGCCACATTCCAGCTGCCGGGAGTGCTCTGAACTTATTTACCCACAGGGGGCCGGGCTCAGAGCCCATCTCGTTCTGCACGTAGCCACCCCCTCCTCAGACTGGCCCACCCTCGCCAGTCCTCTGCTGCTCTCTCCTGGCAGGAGGGTCAAGTCTGTCTCAGGGACGGGGCATCTCTTGGGTATCTCGAGAGTGGCACGGAGATGAGGGGCCAGTAAATCCTGTGTCTTTTCTGTTGGTTATATTTGGCGCCTCCAGGAACTGTGCTGTGAAAATTGGTTACACGTGCCACCTGCTGTTTCTACGTTTAGAGAATAGAAATTCACCGAGCACTTTCTGTGTGCCATACGTTAAAAATGTGTACTCTTAACTCTTGAATTTACAGGCGAGGACATGAAACAAGCAGGGAGAGGGGCCGGGGTTGGGAGTGAGATGAGTATTTTATCTATGACATTGTTGAGTGACTTCTGAAAGCCAGATGATGGCAGACAGTGGACACTGATCAGGTCTGCCTGGGGTCAGAGCCTGGGATTCTAACCATGCCACTGTCCTGCCTTGAGTTCGGTGGCCTCAGTCAGCATTGATACCTGCCACTTCTCAAGCAGGGGCATCTGGCAAAGCCTGGGGAGGTTTGTGTGGTCACAGCTGGATAGAGTGTTACTGGCAGCCAGTGGTGTGGAGGCCAGGGACACTTCTAAACATCTTACAATGCACAGGACACCCACCCCTCGACAAAGAATCATCCAGCCAAAAATGTCCACACTGGATAGGCTGAGAAACCCTGCATCATACAGGAGGGAGGGATCCCGAGCTTCTCATAGGGTGCTGAGGAAAGATTTAATTTTATGACTGCTAAAGCAATCCAGACAAAGAACCTGTAAGTCTTCATGCAACGTCTCATGCACGTAACGCGTGCTCTTTGGGGTGACTGTAGACAGTGAGAGTGTGCAGGTGTCTTTCCAGCAGCGTTGTTGGGTCTTGAGCTATGCTAGTTCATTCCTCGAATCGGCATTTGCTGAGCATCTCCTGAGTGTCAGGCCGGTGCTGGGTGCTGAGCACAGTGAATCCACACACACTGGTTCTGCCCTCAAGGTGCCCACTGGTCGGCGGTGGTGGTGGTGGTGAGGCAGTCAAGGAAACCAACAATGGCAACTGTGTGTGTGCATTGCTGGGGCTGGGGGAGCAGACACAGACGCAGGGCACAGACCCAGGCTGTGGGTTAGGCCCGGGAAGGCGCCCAAGGAGAAACACTGAGCGGAGCGAGCACTCACTCTGCTGTGGGGCTGGAGTGTGTAAGAGGAGTGCTCTGGGGTAGCTGGAGCTCAGGGTGTGAGTGGGCAAGGAGATGGGGCTGGAGGGGTCTGCACGGCCTGCTCCAATGCAGAGGCCCTCCTGAGTCACCCTAAGGCATTTGGGTTTTGTCCAGACTTTTAAATGGGTGATAAAATCAGAATTGCAAAACAAAAGAGGGAGCCACAGGGCAGCGTGATGTGAGCAGAAAGGTCAAGTAGATGGTTGCGGCCATCTGGGTGGAGGAAGTGAGGAAGAGGCCGGAGAATGAAGGGCCAAAGTTGTAGGTCTTGGTGGCTGATGCAATAGGCTGGGTTGGAGTGAGGGAGAGGGCAGGGTCTGGGGGGTGAGTAATGATTGTAATGAAAGTGCTGGTGAAACATTAAAACAACCTAGGGAGGGGGTATTATTGCCCACATTTTAATAGGTGGTGAGACTGAGGGCAGCAGCTGCATGCCGAGGCCTCAGGGCTGTCTCTTCAGTTTGCCAGGTGTGCCTATGTCATCATCCTCATGGCCATTTACTGGTGCACGGAAGTCATCCCGCTGGCTGTCACCTCCCTCATGCCTGCCTTGCTTTTCCCACTCCTCAAGGTTCTGGACTCCAAGCAGGTGAGCAGACCCAGGGAATGCTGGTGGCTTCCTGCTTCTCCCCCTGGCTCCTTCTCGAAGCCCCTCTCTGAGTTGCCTGGGCCCCGGGGGGAGGGAGGAGCAGATGAGCCCCCTGTGGGTTCTTTCTGGCATGGAGACATACCACTGACCCTCCGTTCCACTCCAAACTGTCCGTCAAGCCAGCATCTGGTCTGCTCACCTGTCTCTGGGGACTTGGTTGGCCCTGGGCCCAAGCATTGTGTGGCCAGAGGCAACCCTGATGGGGCCTCCGTGCCACCACTTTCCAGGTGTGTATGCAGTACATGAAGGACACTAACATGCTGTTCCTGGGTGGCCTCATGGTGGCTGTGGCCGTGGAGCGCTGGAACCTGCACAAGAGGATCGCCCTGCGCATACTCCTCTGGGTGGGGACCAAGCCTGCACAGTAATTACACCTTCTCTTCCTTGCCACGGGGCTCCCTGTGGGCCCCAGGGCTGGGGAGGAGCTGTAGCACAGGCCAGAACACCCACTGGCAAGGGCTGCCCATGGGCTTACCTGGGCTTGGCAGGCAGGTGGACCCCTGGGGCATGTGACAAATGTGACAATTTTAGCTGAGGACTCCAGAGACATGGAAAATGATGGGGGCTTGTGGTGAGCAGCAATAGGTAAGGGTTCTCTGAATCCAGAGGAGACCTGTCAGCAAGGGTCTCTGCATGTTCAGAGGACTTCCTGGAGGAGGGGCTGCAGGGCCACACAGGCGGGTGGAGGCTGGATCAAGCCATGCCTGATGGGGCATTTGTGGGGAAAGCAGGCCAGAGGTGGCTCAACCACGGTACTCAGGGGGAAGCAGAAAGGTCATCCTTCCAAAGCTGTCATCTCTCTCCCCTCTGTACAGAAGCTTCTTATTTGATCTTGACCCTCAGCTTCTCCCCTCTCTCCAAGATCTCCCCTCCAATCACAGGCAACTGCCAACCAACCATGGAGCTGACACCGTCAGAATCACCTGGGTATACTGAGCGCCTGCAATGCCCCAGGCATGGCACTGGGAGCTTATTTATCCCCTCATTTAACTCACCGCAACTCCGAGAGTTGGGTATTAGTCCTGCCACCCACATTCTATAGATGAGGAGTTTGAGACAGAGAGGGGTCAAGTGATTGGCTGTTGGATGAGGCCTTGCCCCCTCTAGTAGAGAACCCAGGACGCGCCTTTCTTTTGAGGCAGTGTGCTCCCTAAATGATGGAGTGCCCCTGCCCAGCCCTGGGAAGGCAGCAATTGGTGAGTTCACAGCAAATCCCTCCTGAGATGTCCATGTGTCAGGGATTGTGCTGGGCCCTGAGCACACAGAGCCTGGTCTTCCCTCCCGGAGGTGATGCCTGGCTTCCCTGGCATGTTAGGCTCCCCTGAGCAGATAGCTTTGTGACTCTGGTCTCTGTTACCCTTCATGATATCGATCCCCTCCAGTGATTGGTCNTGTTAGGCTCCCCTGAGCAGATAGCTTTGTGACTCTCTGGTCTCTGTTACCCTTCATGATATCGATCCCCTCCAGTGATTGGTCTACAGGGTCAAATAAAAAACCATTGAATTTTCTAGAAATGTGAGATCTCAGGGGCCTCTGAATTCTTGCTCTCAGGATCCTTTGAGCTGCCAGCCTTTCTCCATCAGCAGGTGGACCTCATCTGACGGTGCCAAATAGCTTTTGTTCCCAAATCCAGGAAGTTCACGCCTGCTTCTCTGTTCCCTTCTGTCACCTAGCATCTCCTCTGAGCTTGGCTTCTAGCCATCCATGGCACTTGCCTGCCGTGGGGTGACCTTTAGGTTGAGGCCCACTTGGTGTCTTAAAGCATCATACTGAAGCCTCACGCATGAAAACGCTGGTCCTCCTTCCAGCCTGGATCCAAGCCTTTGTTCTTGTGGGCCTGTGAAGTCAACCTGCATGGACACTGGCTTGGACCTTGGTGCAGTGTAGCACCCAGATCCCTTCTTCAGGAGACTTAGTGGCCCTAGGGGGAAGACTAAGAGCAGCTTGGTTCCATTTAGCCAGTCCCCCCTGAGCGCCTTCTCTTCCTGGCCTTGTGCCGGGGGCATGAGAGCCATGGAGAAGAATCCAGACCCTTCCCCTGCTCACCACCCAAGGAAAGAGCAGACATGGACACAGGCCCTCTGAGCCCAGCCAGTGATGAGTGTTGCTGGGGGCCTGGTGTGCACGAGGAGGGAGGCCACAGAGGAGGGACATTGTCTGACGGGTTTTGAAAGGCCATGAGGAGCGTTCTAGGCAGAGGTGGGACAGGTGGGAGACAGGTGTCATAAATAAAGGGAACATGTTTTCTGAATATTGTGTGTTTGATCTGGTCCATTGCAGAGTGAAGGGGGTACAAAGTTATTGTGCACAGAGAGGTGGTGCTTGGGGGTGGGGGAGCGGTCAGCCATGAGGGGGTCCTACTTTCGCAGGCTCACCCTACCCCCGAAGGCTAACTCTGTGCAGCCCTTCTGAATTTTAGAGAAGAGAAGCAGGGCCTGGGGTGGGTGGGAATCTTCTAGATAAAAGTGGGATATTGGGGCTGTTTGCACATAGGTCTGCTGCAGCACACGCTAGGGCCAATTCTCCACACTGGGTTGGCACCATCTGGATGCCTGTGCTGCCCCTGCTAGACAGGAGCTCCTCAGAACCATGACTGGGTCTGAGAAAAGCCTCCTGGTGCCCCCCGTAGCCAGCAGGATAGACATCAGTAATTTCTGTGGGAGAGAGGTAGGAGGGAGAAGAGAAGGAAAGGAGGGAGGGAAGGAGGAAGGGACTAAAGTTATAGTCTCTCTTGGACTACCCAGTCTTGAACTGGTGTCTGCACCTTGGCCTTGACCTTCAAGGCTGGGGGCAGTGGGGTGGGCTTCCCTGGCTTCCCTTCCTGCTCCTCCCCTGCAGGCTGATGATGGGCATCATGAGCGCCACGGCCTTCCTGTCCATGTGGATCAGCAACTCGGCCACCACAGCCATGATGGTGCCCATCGTGGAGGCCGTGCTGCAGCAGATAGAGGCCACGAACATGACCACCGAGGCCAGCCTGAGGTCCTTGGAGCTGGTGGACAAGGGCAAGAGCAGCGAGCTGCCAGGTGAGCCCCTGGCCAGGGTGCTACCGGGGTCCCCTCTGCTGCCAAAAGCTTTGGCCCCCTCCCTGAGTCCTGAAGCCCACTTTTAAATAGGCATACAGAGAAATACTTAGGAACTGCTGTTTTTGTAAGTTAGGAACATAATTATTGCATGAAAGTTAAATCCTTTAGCGTTGCTTATAGCAAGCTTTCACCCTTGGCACCCGCCAATCACGGAAATCAGTAGGTGTTCGTCTGATGATTTATCTGAGCATCTTTTGAGCACCTACTGGGAGTCCCCACCCTTTGCTCTTCCTACTCATCCTCAGGGAAGCCTCCCCTGAACAGGTCAAAGCCCCCATCCGCTCTCTGCTGCCACAGGTGCTGGGGTGGCTGTCCTGGGTTGCTGCCCCCAGGGCCCAGCTCAGCGAGTCAGGTAGCGCCTGTGTTATTCTCTGCCCTGCTCGTACCCTGTTGGCCCGGCACAGGGAACTCAGGGCCCGTCCTGATGGTCTGATTGCCAGATCCTGGGCCAGGTCCTGGGGCTGCTGAGATAAAGCAGACGCACCCATACTTCGGACTCTAGGAGCCCAGCGGGGTAGGGTATTGAGGCCCGTCGCACAGTTCCTCTGCCTTGGGGGAAGCCACAGGATGCCATAAGGAGCCCAGACAAGGGAGAGGCCTTGCGAGGAGGAAAGGACAGCTAAGATGGATTTGCACACCCCCCTAGATGGAGGGACCAGCTGGAGCAAAAGCAAGGAGGCAGGAAAGGGGGCGTGCATCTGAAGCTGCTGAATGTGCACTGGGCAGATTCGGGGCGCCTGGGGAAGCGGTGGGAAGTGACTGTGGGAAGGCAGACAGGGCTGGACTGCAACGCTGGGCTGGAGGCTGAGGGGAAGCCCAAGAGGAAGCTGGCAGAGCCGGTGCATCCCACTCTCGGGTCAGCAGCAGAGCTAGGTGCTGGGGCTGAGGGGGGTGAGGGACAGGGCAGGACTGGCTCTGCTCACTGAGGTGTGTCACTACAGGGAACCAAGTGCTGTTTGAAGGCCCTGCTATAGGGCCGCAGAAGAACTGTGACAAGAAGGACGTATGCAAGGCCATGACCCTGTGTGTGTGCTACTCGGCCAGCATTGGAGGCACTGCCACCCTGACAGGGACAGGACCCAACATGGTGCTTCTGGGCCAGATGCAAGAGTGAGTCACTGGTCATACCTTCTGGGGACAATAACATGGGCCCTGGGGTTAGAGGACTCAGCCTCCTGTTCTTCCTCCTCAGCTGGGCCTTGGCAGGGGCGGGAGGCTGTGCCCCCATCAGTCTCTGCTGCACCTGCTCAGAACTTCTCTGGGTGGCAGCTGATGACAGTCCCTAGGCCTGGTTGCTTTCTGTCTTGGGGCTCAGTATTTTCACTCAGACACTTGGTGTGATTGAACTCTGAGCTAAAGTGGTGAGAAGTGACAGCATAGTTTTAGATGCCGGGCCCTTATTTAAAACTGCAGAAAATAGATACCACTACAGATGCTCTCCTTAAAACTGGCTCACCGACCTTGGCTGTGAATGGTAATGGTCCTATGATGTTGGGAGTCTAGAGATGGCATAAAGAGTTAGGTCAATCCTTGCCTCACTAGCTCGTTCGCTATTGTTCCTCTAATTGCCTTGAGGTGACCGGTGCCGTTGTGAGGCCCCAGGTGGACCACAAGGGTGGTCTGGAGCTTTCCTTGGCCACAAAGGGACACAGGTCTTGAGGACCCAGTTGTGTGCCTGGCCTTGGTGCTGGGTGGGGCTGGAATCACAGAATTGAGGGAGACCTGGGCTCTGTCTGTGGGATACTCACTGTCTGCTGAGGGTAGTAGAGGCCTGGAGAGTTCTAGACAGGCCATGTAAATGCATTAATGAAGGAAAGTACAGACTGCAGTGAGCACAGAGGGAAGGGACAGAAGTATGCTGGTGCCCATCTTGTGCAGACAAGGGCTTTGGGCAGGTGGGGGGGGGTAGCTGGGAGGTGGGAAGGACAGGCCTGGAGCCTGGCCAAGCAGACACTTGAGGTCGACAAGCAGACTATTCTGATCCTGTGAGTGTTTTCTGTAATGATAGCCTCTGGTTCTCTCTGGTGTTCCCGCTGAGTGCAGAAATTTCAGTGTCTACTTTGACACCCTTGGGCTAAAGTAAGCAATGCTGTGGGGTGGGGGGTGGGGGAGCAGAGCCTGGAGTGAAAGTGACCCTCCTCCTGCCCCTGGGAAGCTTTTGAAATTTGTTTTCCTAAGGGGAGGCCGTCCCTTGCTGAAGCCCACAGCCTGAGGGTTCTGAGGCATCTGTGGCCATCCTGATGCTGTTGGATCACACATGCAAATTATTTGTGTACAAAGGTGTATTTTTCTGGAGCGAAGGGCCATGACTTTCATGAGATTCTCAGCAGGGTCTGTACCCCCAGGAGGGTCTGTTGGTCACTCCTTGGCCTTGTATTGTGCATGGCTGTGTTCTGGGGCCCCCACCTGATTGGGGTAATACGAGGCAGTGGACTTGGATGGCTGGACCTCCAGACCATCTCTCAGGGTCCAGCTGCTGCTCTCTGTGGCTCAGCATCTGGTAGAGATGTGGACCGATGTTTCTCTCTCCAGACTGTTTCCTGACAGCAGAGACACCCTGAACTTCGCCTCTTGGTTTGGATTTGCCTTCCCCAACATGGTGATCATGCTGCTGCTCACCTGGTTGTGGCTCCAGTGCATGTTTGTGGGATTCAAGTAAGTTGGAACTGCTTCCGGACGAGAGTCTAACCTGCCATGCCCCTGCAGAAGAACCAACAGGCGAGTCCACAGAGTTCTTCCTGACCACCCCTATTTCTCCAGCCCCATCATCTGCTAGTCTGCCCTCTCACTTTGGCTACCTCAGGCTGGTCACCGTGCCTTTGTACTTACTGTTCCCTCTTTCTGAAATGCCATTCCCTATCTTCCTACCTTTCAACCTCCTCAGGCTTCAAGGCCAGTTCAAATGCCACTTTCTTAGGGACACCTTTCCTGACTTCCCCCACACCCATTCTGTCGTGGAAGAATCCCTTGTCTGCTCCTCTGGGCTTCCCTGGGCACCACATCGCCCAGTTCCTAGGTACCTGTGGTCATGTTCCAGTTCTGCCTCAACCCCTGACCTGAGCTCCTCTGGGACCTGTGGTAAGTCCTCTCTGTCCTCTGACCCCAGCCTGGCTCCTGGCTAGGGAGAAAGAACAGGCGTGCCATCAACGTGAGTCAAAGCAATTAAAGGGAATCTTGTCCCCGTGAGCAGATCGATGCTGCTGGACAAACTCCCACTTGGCCACATGTGCCCAGTGGGTCCAGCCACAGCACACCACCTGACAGTTTCCAAACAATCAAGACCCAGACTTCTCCTGAATGCCCGCAATGTTCCCAGTGACTTGTGTTCTGCAAAGTTTACCTTCCTCTTCCCAGCAAGTTCACCAAGAGTCAACCTTGACAGCAGCCAGACTTTGGACAGAAACTGTGATGTGTGTCTGACAAATACCTAAAAAAAACAAAGATGACCCTTCACAGTGGTATGGAAAGTACTTAGCTGTGAGCCGTGTGCTCTGGGCCTTAAATGACAGGCAGCTGGAGCTGTGTGGCCACAGAGAGATCTCAGAGCCTAGGGGCAAAAGCGCCCACAAAACCTGTGAGTTAACCGTGGAAAAAGTGGCATTTTTATAAGTTTTCTTCTAAAGGAGGAACTGTTTTGAAAACTGCCATTAAAAAAATAAATAAATAAATAAATAAATAAATAAATAAATAAATAAATATATATATATATATATATATAATCAAAGTGCTCATGCCAAAGACATAATAATAATAGTGGGTATCCCTCCTATGTGCCCCCCCCCCGTGTGCAGGCCTCACATGAGAGGGAAGCTGCTCCCATGGGCGCCCGGGGCACAGCCTGGTTCTGAGGGCAGCTCTCTGCCCTGCTTTCACACCTGCTTCAGGACCAGAGTCTTCACATCCACCCAGTGGGCCTCGGGAGACCTGTCCCAAACCTGCCTCTAAAGGGGCCATAGCAATAGTAATGACCAGCATCTGTTGAGTGATGATTAGGTGCTAGACACAACTTTAATCACTCTACATATATTAATTAATCTTCCCATCAACCTGTGGGGTAGGTGCTTTTCTTATTCCCAATTTACAGGTGAGGCAACTGAGGCACAGAAAGGGGAAATGGCCTATGCAGGGTTGTAGAACCTGGAAGTTGTGGGGCTGAGATCTGAACCCAGGCAGTTTGGCTCTAGAGCCTGTGCCCACTATCCTACCTCCCTGTCTCAGTCAGCTCGGGCTGCTGTAGCAAATCACCGCAGACTGGGCGGCTCGAACCACAGACATTTATTCCACATAGTTCTGGAGGCTGCAAGTTCAAGATGAAGGTGCCAGCCCATTTGGTTTCTGGTGGGCACCCTCCTCCTGGCATGCAGGAGGCCACCTTTTCACCTTGTTCTCACAAGGGGGGTGGGGAGAGAGAGAGAGAGGGAGGGAGAAAGAGAGAGCGAGCGCTTTGGTGCTTTCTCTTATAAAACACTGATCCACCACCCTTGGGACCTTATCTAGACCTAATTACCTTCAAATGCCCACCTTCTAATACCACATGGGGGTAGGATTTCAGCATAAGAATTTAGGGGGACTCAAGAGGCCTAAGTACAGCCAGGTGTCAGGAGTACCAGTTTCAGCAGCAGCTCAGCCTGGGGTGGGGGAGGGCCCGGAAGCCCTAAGATCTAGCAAGTTCCCTGGCAGAGCAAGCAGAGGGGAGCTGGCCTGACCCCAAGATCACAGGGACACTATCAGCCTCTAGAGGTGGACACCAGGCTCTTGGGAACTCATAGCCAAGGACCTGAGCCAGCCAATTTTGTTCCTGGTGAGAACTCAGCCTGGTGTGACGTCCATTAGCTCTTCTTGACCCGCAGGGAGCTGGAGACTTCTGGAGCCTGCCTGTGGTTGGGCTCAGGGCTGCTGCCCATCCTACCCCTTCCCAGCATGCTGTTCCAGCTCAGGGCCTGCCCCAACCAGACTTGGAGTGTGATGGATAGGGAGGGGGGATGGCTCACAGGAAACCTTGTTTAGATAGCTTTTTATACTCAGCTTGAAAGACTGGACAGCAGGAGATGTTCTCCAGCCCAGGCCATATCCTGCCGTGCACCAGGACCTGGTGATCCTTGCTTCTGTAACCTCCTGGGCCACCTCACCTGAGGCAAGGCAACACCTATCTCAGTGGGGGAAGCACCTCCACTGTGCCTTCACTGGATGCTCTCAGCTTCTCTGTCATGGAAAGCAATGTTAGGGCCGTTGCCTTTGGCCTAATCCAGAAAAACAATCCCTTTGGGTTTACGGGTGACTTCCTTGGCCACTTGGAACCCACCCCCCCAGGACTGCCCACGACTGATGGGGAATTATTGCTGGCTTATACCCAACTTTCCTAACCAGGCCAACCCCTGGATTAAGCGTGAGGGCTTTTCTGGATCCCTGCCACAGCAGAGGCACTAGGAGACTCAGGTCCCTTCACCACTCCTTGGCTCTGTACCAGTTCATCCGCATCATTCTGAAGCCATTCCACTGTAGTAGGGCGCTTTGTACCCACCCCGCCCTCTGGGCTCCCACAGGCAAACTGGATCCACCTGCCTGTATCTTGTGCTAGCCCGGCGGTCACCAGACAGGATTAACCAGAGATGAGGGTGAAACCGCTTAGTGTAAGAGGGCCCTGAAGGCTTGGTGGCGCCATTGTGGGGGGCCAGCATTGGACAGTTCCATGTGCGGTGCAGCCCCCAGAGTCTATAGTTGTGTGGTGTGGGACTGCCACCAGCATCAGACATGGGCTGTGCAGCTGGGAGTACCAGAGTTAGCTCTTGTCCTCAAAACCTGAAACCTCTGGCCCTGGAGTCTCCAGAATGACAGTTGGCAGCAGATCAATTCTTGGTCAAACAGACTCTCCTACACCAAGTGGACGAGAGGCTCCCTCCCGCACCAGCAGTAATCCCTTTGCTGGATGACCTAACGAGTGTCCCTGGCAGGTGACTTGGGACGCACAGCCTTGCTCCCTTGTCCAGCACAGAGATCCCACAGGCTGTGCAGATACGAGACTCCATCACTGCCTCTTCTTTTCCCAATCCCTGAGCACCCGTGACCTGTCCTCCTTGTGTCCCATGCTCTGGGCCTTGTCCCCTCACCCTCATGGCCTGCACAGGTAGTTCACATCCAAACTTGGCTTCAGAAATTGGCATCTCAGTTCCAGTTCCATCACCTCCTGCCCTCTTATGATGTCTGTCTTAGGGCCCCAGGAAGGATGCCCACAGAGAGGGTTCTCTAGGGACATTCCTTTTGGCTGGCCCACCACCTTCAGGCTGATGGGCTGGAACAGGTGCATGGGTTCCTCAGAGAATTCCTGAAGGCCTGAATCCTGGGCCCTGTTTGCCCCAGTTAGCCCATTCCCTGTGGCTGAGGTGCCCTCTGCACCTCTTTTAAGAATTCCTCCTTTTTCCTGCCTCCTCATGCCAGCACCCCCTTAGAGGAGGTCCTGCGTGGCATCCTGGGCAGACCACATAGGCCAGTGGGCAGTGGTCCCTAAGGAGCCCATCCAAGAGCATGGCCCTGGGCTGGCTTCCTTCCTGCCATAGCCAGGCCTGCTGCTGGCCCCAGTGTCCTGGATCCCAAATCTTACACCTCTAGCTTCTTGGGATACAGACACCCACTCAGCTCCTGCCTGGCCCCGTCTTTTCTTTGTGCTCACTTGAGCCACCTAGTGATGGGGGCTGGCATCCTGGCACCACTGAAGGTAGCTCCAGGCCACTGTGGGAGGAGGAGGACTTGGGGAACATATGAGGGAGGCCTGGCTCCACCCCTAACCAGCACTTCTCATGGTTTTTTCCCAGATGACATGACAGGAACAGCTGGTTTCCAGGCAGCTGGGCACTTGCCAGGTCCCCACTACCAGTGGCGGCCTCAGTTCTGCTTATTTGTGCCTCCAATGCTCCT